GCGGCGCCGCAGCCCCGAGCCACAGGTGCCGAGGGCCCTGAAACGGCAGGGACGGGACGGTTCCCCGCAGGTGCCAAGGGCCCTGACACGGGGGGCCGCGCCCAGCAGGCCCGATTGCCGGATAACTGGCAGCACACCGCAACGCCAAGGAACACGCCCAGGAGGCAGCCGATCCCACTTCCGGCGCCCAACATCATCAAGCAGGACCCGGTGGTTTTTTATAAGAGCTCGGTTGGGCTGAATGAAGGGGGCCAGTGCCTTTCAGCTACCCCCCTGACAAGTCCCACGGAGCTGTCGCCGGGATGGGACATCTTCCCGTGGATGGAGAACATCCCGGAGCGTCTGGTACAGCGGCTGAGATGGACACAGGGCACATCGCCCAAAGTTCCATCCAGTGGGCCCATTATTGTCCTACTCTATGCAGGCAAGGAAGACCCAACTTCCTTGGACAGCTGTCTTCATGCCAACTACCCACACCTTTCCAGCATGGTGGTGGCGGTAGACATCCTACGATCGGGACCAAAAGGGAACCACGACATGCTCCAACCCGAGCTGTATGGAGCTCTCTGCACGGCAGCAAAGCAGGGCCGAGTGGTCTTCATTGGAGGAGGACCCAACTGCAGGACATGGTCCATCCTGCGCCACATACCAAAACCGGGGGCCCCCACCCCGGTGCGAGGGCGCACTCGAGAGACACTTTGGGGCCTCCCACACCTGGACCAGGCCGCCCAGACTCAGCTTGATGATGACAGTATCCTCATTTTGAGGCAGATGTACATCACCAGCCTGGCAAGGGCCTCAAGATCGGCGGTTTCTCTGCCAGGGCCAAAGTCCTTCTTGGAGCACCCGGAGGACCCAGTGGTGAGCAGCTCGCTGCCCCCAAGGAATGCTCATCCTTCTGGATCACGGAGGAGGGGCAGCTTTGGATGGAGGAAAACTCCTTGACAGCAATCTCCTTCGACCAGTGCCGCCTGGGCCAGCTGGTCAAGAAGGCCACTACACTAGCCACGGATCTCCCAATTCATGATTGGGATCAAATGCGGTGCACGCATCAGTCACATGTGGGCACCAACGAGTCCTCGACTCTTAGCAGATACCCTTGGGATATGATGGCAGGCCTGGCCAAAGCCATCGCTGTGTCACTCGCAGCGCCGGGGCACATCCGGATCCCCTCACAATTCCCGGGAAACCCTAAGGAACCACCTAAGGGGCGGGGGTCGGACCCCCCGGAGGGCCCTTCCCCCCGGGGAAAACGGGGACCCAATCAGGGAGGCGGTCCCTCCTCATCACACCAGGGCCCAAAGCCCGGAGGCAAGAATGCCCCGAAGCCCCGCCAGCACGGGCACATCCACCTTGAGGCAGACACCGTAAGCCCTCGTGGAACTATGAACCCAGACTTCCCATCTCCCATGCCCCCGATGGCCGGAGATGCGGAACAACTGGGAAAGGAAGAACATGGGGACCAGGTCCTGGACCGCCCCGAATGCCTGCCCGCTTTCAGGGTCCCACGCCTCATTGACCGAGTTGCGATTGTCCAATTGGGTTTCCGCTCACGCCCCCTGAGGGATGGGGGGGGGAAACCTTCCCCGGGGAGGCTCAACCCCCCCTTTCGGAGAATTTCCCCTTTGGCTACTTTGGGCGCCCTGATCATGACCCTTACCCGGCCCTGGATTGACAAGGTCCGGATGTCCCTGGCATCAGGTGCCACCACACACCCCTTCCAGGAAGCCGACCTCGATGAGCTGCGGGCTATCCTGGGACCTAGGCACCTCCATGAACGATGCCCAGGTCAACCCTTCCTCCTGGACCTAGTTTCGCACTTGGCATCCCTTTCAGGTGATCCTGAGAGTTCCCCCTGACACTGAAAGAGGGGGTCCCCTTGGGAGTCTCGGCCCCTACCTTGACCTCCCCCGCAGTTTGGCCGACTAAGGAGGAGCTTAAGGGAGAAGCCTGGCTGGGGGAAGACCCCCCCCCGCCGGTGGCCCATGATAACTACCCAACGGCTGAACTCTTTGCCAGTGAAATCGAGGCAACCTTTTACGAGGAACGAGCCTTGGACATGGTGGACGGGCCCTTCACTCGGTCGGAGGCGGCAGAAAGGTGCCGCTGCAAACCGGAGGAACTTTGCCCGGGCCCCCTTGCGGGGATTGATGAGTCAGACAAGATCAGGACGATCTATGATGGCTCGAAAGGGGGAGCAAACGCACACATCCAGGCTCATACAGGGGAGAAGACCACTGCACCGATGGTTGGAGACTGCCTCCACGCCATCCACTGGCTCAGGACAGCGACGGACCATCCCCATCTACTTCGAGCCACGCTCTCGAGCACTGAGGAGAGACCTCGGGATGTTCACCAGCCGGTGCAGGGGCAGTCCCCAGGTGCCGAGGGCCCTGAGAGGCACCAGCCTGCCCTCCAGGGCCGAGGGGCCTGATCGGGGCAGGGGGATGATGGATACCTCCGGCGGATGGACGTTTCTATGGGGTCGACACCCCCAGGAAAGGGACCACTCCCAGGTGCCGAGGGCCCTGATAGGAGGGCCCCCTTCCCCCCAACCCTCCCGGGCACGGAACGCCCTGGGGGGAGCAGGGGGGAACCCCTGATGTGGCAGCCGCCGACACAGGGGGAAACCTTCATCATCCTCAAGGCGGATGTCACCAAGGCCCACAGGCCTCCCGAAAGACTGGAAATACCAGGTGGCCTGACCCAACAGAGTGGGCACGTACGGCATGGCCTCGGCACAACTGTACTGGGGAAGAAAGGCATCCTTGGTGCTCAGACTCTTGTACTACATCTTCCCCCAGGTGGACTGGCACTTAGTCTTTGTGGACGACTACTGCTGGGTCCTCAGATGCAGCCGGGCGGACTGGGACGCCACAGCCATCCTGGCTACACTGCTGGCGCTGGGAGTCCCGCTTTCCTGGAAAAAGACGGCGCTCTCCCCGATCAATACCTGGTTGGGCTTTGTGGTGGACCCAATCACGCCCTGTGTACTGCTGGCTCCAGTCAAACACGTCATAATCCTGGCCACTCTTAAACGGCTGGCCCAGGGGGACATCTTCACCAGCAAGGAGGTGGAACAAGCCCTAGGCCGTATTCAATGGGCTACTTCGGCGTGCCCATTGACGAAACCTTTCCTCCAGCCCTTTTGGAGCTGGAAGAAGGCCTGCACCACTTCGGGCAGGCCACCGAAGCTGGTTCGTGCTCTGGCCATCCTTTTGGGGAGACTCTTCAACCAGAGGTTCCCACTGGCATCTCCGTTTGCTCCCACACTCCCATGGACGGGGGCATCTGATGCGGGAGCTGGCAGACAGGCGGACCATGCATGGGTTGGTGGTTGGTGCTCGGACGTGCCCAACCCCGACAAGTCCCGTGTGAAGTGGTTCCAGCACAGAATCACACCGGAGGGCGAGCCGTGGGCCTTCACTACTGGGGACCCGCAGCGGGCGATAGCGGCCTTGGAGCTCTTCGGCCTCCTCCTTTTGGTGAGGGCCGTTCTGCTTTGTGCAGCCGGCTCGGCTTCTCACACTAGGATCCTGGTTGCTAGTGATAACCAGGGAAATGTTTTCTCCCTTCTTAACGATTCCACTCGCAGGATGCCCAATGCGGCCATCCTCATGGAAATTGTGCTAACGCTGCATGACCAGCAGGTCATGTTGGGGCCGTCGCATGTGAAGCGCGACTTCAACACGTGGGCGGATGAACTTACTCATCCGGACCCGCAATTCCCGACTGAGAACCGGGTCTTCCCCTCAGTCGAGAGCGAATTGATCACACTGATCTTCGCTACTTTCCTTCCTCACCCATGATGCCGGGAGGGCATCCGGTGAGGTGGGAGGATTCCTCCCTCGCTGTGGGAGTGGCATCAATCCTACTCCCATCAGCTGCTGAGGGGAGCTGCCCAGTGGAACTGGGCAATCCTCCCATTTTGGCACTAACCCTTATGCGGCAAAAAGGAGGCACCGTTTTGCGAATAAGGCCTCAGTAGCACCTGAGTGGTGCTTTGAAGAGTCTTTTCTTCTTCTTCTTCTTCTTCTTCTTCCTTTTTTTCCCCTTTCGTCTTATTATTTTGCATGTTTGTGTTTGTGTGTGTTTCGCGTGCCTTTTTTCTTTTTGGTTTGTGTTGCACGCGACTCTTTCTTTTTTGGTTTGTGTGTTGCGCGTGACTTCTTTTTCCGGTTTGTGTGTGTGTGTGTGTGTTGCGTGTGGCTCCCTGAGAGCTATGGGGTCTTTGCCCAGATAGGCTCGCGAAAAAGGGTTCCGGGTCTTGGGGCTTGCTGTTGGGGATGCGGCCTATGTGTGAGAGAGAGAGACAGCTTTTTGTGCATTTTATCTTTTGGCTGCTTTGACGGCTCGGGTGTTCTCGTGTTTGATTTTGACAGCTTCTTGGGTTTATGTCGTTTTTTGTGGGGTAGATCCACACCATTCGGGCAAACCACATCGCGAATTTAGGTTTGGCGTTTGGGCCAAGGTGAAGCTTCCTTTCGGAGGGTGTCCCCTCTTCTCCGCCGCATGCAGATCAAGGTGGCACCCCAAAACGGATCTTTGAGTTCCACGATAATCTGCAGCTTGGCGAAGTAATGGAATTCACAAAGACCCATGGACAGAATGCAAGTCGCTCGGGCGGACCCTTGCTTGTGTGAGCCATGCCTTTTGTTGGTGTTGATTTGGGTTTGTCTCAAAATCTGGACTGCCCAAATGGGCTTCGGCTTCCTTTTGCTTTGCCTTCAAAACCAAGCAAACGGGGGAACCCCAGCAATAAAGACCCATTTGGGTGTGAATTTCAACTGGGGTCCCTTTGATGGACATGATGTAGGTGGGGATTTCCACCACCCATTCTAAAACGGTTCCTCTATTACAAAGTCATACCCATTTGCTTTGCTTTTCTCCCCCCCGCCCCGTCCTGCCCCAAAAAGTCATCCCCATTTGCATCCCCCCCCCCAACGAAAGGTCCGCGCGCACGTTCCGCGCGCGGCGCTGGTGTGCGTCTGGCGCGCGAGGCCATGTCGTTGCGCCGCGTGGCACTGCGACGGCACAGCGACCACATGGTGGCCGAATCCGCGGAGGAGGCGACCGGATGGCTTCTCATCGTGGTTTGACCGACCCATGAGTCAAGGAATCAAGAGATACCAAGGCATACCAAGGCATACCAAAGAATACCAAGGAATACCAAGGAATACCAAGGAATACCAAGGATCACCAAGGAATACCAAGGACTACCAAGCAACCAACCAATGAATCAACCAGAGAATCAAGCAACCAATGAATCAAGCAAGCAAGCAAGGAATGCAATAAACCAAGGAATCAGTGAATCAACCAAAGAATCATGCTAACCAAGTAAGCAAGGAGTACCAAGGAATACCAAGGAATACCAAGAAATACCAAATCTTTTTAAGGAATTCCCAGGAATACCAAGGAATACCAACGAATATCAAGTAATACCAAGGAATACCAAGGAATACCAAGGAATATCAAGTAATACCAAGGAATACCAAGGAATAGCAAGGAATACCAAGGATCACCAAGGAATACCAACAAATACCAAGCAACCAACCAATGAATCAACCAGAGAATCAAGCAACCAATGAATCAAGCAAGCAAGCAAGGAATGCAATAAACCAAGGAATCAGTGAATCAACCAAAGAATCACGCTAACCAAGCAAGCAAGGAATACCAAGGAATACCAAGGAATACCAAGGAATACCAAGGAATACCAAGGAATACCAAGGAATACCAAGAAATACCAAGGAATACCAAGGAATACCAAGAAATACCAAGGAATACCAAGGAATACCAAGGAATACCAAGGAATATCAAGGAATACCAAGGAATACCAAGGAATACCAAGGAATACCAACAAATACCAAGCAACCAACCAATGAATCAACCAGCGAATCAAGCAACCCAGGAATATCGCAAAGAATCACGCTAACCAAGCAAGCGAGGAATACCAAGGAATACGAAGGAATACCAAGCAACCAACCAATGAATCAACCAAGGAATCAAGCAACCAATCAATCCAACCAAGCGAGCAAGGAATACCAAGGAATGACAAGCAACCAAGCAATCAAGCAACCAATGAATCAACCAACCTATGGTGAGGGAATGAGGTTGACCATCTGGCGTGGGTGTTTTGGTGCGTACAAATCATACTGGTTCTCGGGGAATGAAGGAATCAGCCAGGTTGCCAATGAATGAACCTACGAATCAACCAATCAACCAACCTATGTTAACGAGGGAATGGGGGAATCAACCCGGCAAGGAATGAGGGAGTCAACCAACCAATCAACCAACCAATCAACCTGATAATGGTTTCCCCAGTGGATGGTCGGGAAATGAGGCATGGTTGTGGGAATGGTGTTTTAGGCCCGCTTTCTGTTATATCAGGGAATCAACCAACCAATCAAGACACTGTGTATGGACAAAGTCCGCTTGGCACTAGGGTTTTATCCATTCCAACTGGCGCAGGATTCGGAGCACGGTAGGGTTTCCGCACTGGAAGTGGGGCCATTCCCGGATTGGCACTTCTTCATATTCCTTCCTGGAAGGGAACCCAATGAGGCTGCTTAAACAATGAAGGAGTTGTGTTGCTTTTTTGAGAGAACCCCCCCTCAAAAAAGGCCGAGTTGGTGTCTTTGCGGTTTCCCTTTAGAACCGAAAGACCCCTTAAAAAAGACATACCCATTAAAACAACAGGTGGTCGGCCCAACCCCCGTCACCCAGATGAGCAGCGCCCAAAACTAATCCTTGGCCGGTGTCCTGCTCTGCAAATTCATGCGGCAAATTAACATGGAACCCAAAACGAAGGTACCCAAAAAGGAGGTTCCTTTGAAAAGGGGCGGTTGTTGGGTTCCATGGTAATTTGTATTAGTGTACTTGCTGGTTTCATGGGTGTGATGGCAAAGGCTTTGTAAACCTTCACAAGCATCTTGGAAGCAGCTGTCAATGGATTTGGGCGCTGTTCGGCAGGGTTGGTCATCAAATAGGAGTTGGAGAAGTGGGCTTCGGCTTTCTCTTTGGTTCCCTCCATTCAAGAACACCCCAAAGGAGAACACACTAATGAGGGCACCCTCTAAAACAATCACACCCAAATGAAGTTGAAGGAAGGGGATTCTTACTCTTTGCTTTTTTTTTTTTTGGGGGGGGGGGGGAAATGTGACCTTTCAAATGTAGGCTAAGGTTCATAAGCTTACCATGTTACGGTTCTGTTGGGCTGGAGATATCCTCATAGGTGTCCTTTAACGGTCAGATTGGTTGAATACAGTCCACTGCCATCGAGTTTTTCACAAGGCTTTCCTGAGGTTATTTCCCCGAGCCCAGCCCCCCTGATTTTGTCTCGAATACTAATTCTTTGGATACGTTTCCTGAGTCTATTGTGGAAATGGGTGCTACTATGAATCAAGCATTTTGACTTCTAGAAGTTTAGAGTGAGATTCCAGCCAGACATTCCAATTCTTATACATTCTGTTTTGTTGGGGTGGAGCAAAAATGCAGTCAATATGCAAAGGAAGGTTGGTTTTGTGTTGGGGAGCAACCCTGTGGGCTTGTCTCCAACCGCTAAAATTGGTGGTCTCCCTTCGGTTTTCCTTTGAACCAACCACAAAAAGGATATCCTCAAGAAACGACAAACCCACGTGGCTATCACTTTTCAATGAGGAACCTCACAAGTGGTTGGTGGACATGAATCCCCTAGATTATGTTCAATAAAAGGCCCTTTACCGTTAGTTGGTTGGTTGGTTGGTTGGTTGGTTGGTTGGTTGGTTGGTTGGTTGGTTGGTTGGTTGCTTGGTTGCTTGGTTGCTTAGTTGCTTGGTTGCTTGGTTGCTTGGTTGCTTGGTTGCTTGGTTGCTTGGTTGCTTGGTTGCTTGGTTGCTTGGTTGCTTGGTTGCTTGGTTGCTTGGTTGCTTGGTTGCTTGGTTGGTTGGTTGGTTGGTTGGTTGGTTGGTTGGTTGGTTGGTTGGTTGCTTGGTTGCTTGGTTGCTTGGTTGCTTGGTTGCTTGGTTGCTTGGTTGCTTGGTTGCTTGGTTTGCTTGGTTGCTTGGTTGATTGGTTGCTTGGTTGCTTGGTTGCTTGTTTGCTTGGTTTGCTTGGTTTGCTTGGTTTGCTTGGTTTGTTTGTTTGTTTGTTTGTTTGTTTGGTTGGTTGGTTGGTTGGTTGGTTGTTTGGCTGGTTGGTTGGTTGGTTGGTTGGTTGGTTGGTTGGTTGGTTGGTTGGTTGGTTGGTGGGCAACCAAAGGGAACCCACCCACTCTTGAGGTTCCCCATTTGGAGACAGAAGCCCAGAAACCCCAGTTTGGGGCTCCAAAAAAGAAGAAGAAAGATGGGTGTGTTTTTTCAAGGCTGGACCCTCCTCCCCACCATGGTGGTGTGCCTTTTGTTTACCTTTAAAACCACAAACCAAAGGCAGCTTCAACAAAAAGGCTCGAGCCACCCATACGGGTTTGTCTCAAAATAGGGTACCCCTAAAAGTTAGTTCCAGGGGTAACTTCCCCATTCTTTCCAGGGATCCTTCTTTCCAGTAAACCACCCAAACCTCTGGGGAAATGGCTGGTTTTCGACAAGAACGATGGCTGAAAAGAATGGCTGGAATCAGCCAGTAGAAACATGTCAAAAGGTCGATTCGCGTTGGGCGAGTGAGTGGCTTCCCACCTCGGCCTTTTCCGCCTGTTCCGCCAAGGGGAATCAATCCTAGATTAGTTTTTCTTGCGTTCCCCTGGAACCTTTTGAAGGGACCCCCTCCCAGTTGCCATGTTGGAGGGAGGGTGCCCCTAAAAGTTCGTTTCTGTTCCCCAACCCCAAAATCAACATCAGTTTTTCTTTTGTTCCCCAAAACGGGTACCTGGAACCCCAAAACCGGGGGAACCGTCAAAACCAAAGGGCTCGAGCGAGCCGCGAGCGAGCCGCGAGCCCGCGCCAGGCCATGGCCTCCTTCGCTGCTGCCTCCTTCGCCGGCGCCTGCGCCGAGCCAGGGGCCGAGGAGGTTTTTTGTTTGGGGAACAGAGTTCCTCATTTCTTTTTAAATCCGTTGGGAGCAACCTTGGGAGCAACCCCGTTGGGAGCAGCCCCGTTGAGTTGTTTTCATGTATGGTTATTTTTTTGGTTTGGGACAAATCATGGGGATCGCGCCTGACCTTGTTACTTCTGCCGACTGTTTTCCGCCATGGAACCTCACCCAGTCGATTTCAGGAAAGCTACTACGGGTTGTCCGTTTGTCTGAATGGGTGGGTTTTCATGATTACCTAATGTTGACCTCGGAATACTGCACCCTTTCCATTAGTAGGGGTGTGTTCCCTCCCAATGCGGTCTGAATCCCCAGGAAAAGGAGTTGGACGCCCCATCTCTCAAAATCAACAAGGGGTTCCGCTTAATCTAGGGTTTCCATCACAGGTAAATGGGTACGGCTCAAAATTCGGAATCGGCCCCAAATGGGATTTTGGTAGATGGAAAAGTCGAAAAGGTGCAGCCTCCCCCCGCCCCACCCCCAACCCACCCACTCTCAAATTTTGAGTTTTACAACTAAATGGAATCACTGGTCATGAAACAGCCCCCCGACAGAGCCAGAGACCTCGGACGGTAGTTTGGGGGATCCACCATTGCGACTCCCAACACTTTGGCCCTCCGTTGGTTTCCCTTCAAGCCGACTGGCTCAGGCTGAGACGATCCAAATTGCCCGCTTCAAAAGGCAGCCTAGTGACCGTATTTCTGGTTGGCCCATGAGCTTCTTTTTTTTTTGCTCTTGGACCTCCACTTTGGGGGTCCGGGGGGGGGAGGGGGGGGGCAACTCCCTTCCGGAAGGTGGGTTCCGACAAATTTCAGCCATCTGAGTTTTTAAACAAACCAAGGGTCGAGTGTGTCACATCTTCCTGCAGGCAAATCCCTCAAGAAGGGCGCCCTCTGAAACATGTTTCCTCGTTGGCATAAAAGCAACCTCGACGGGCAACCATTTACCGCAGATGTCTTCGGCCACTGTGGCCAGGGGTTCTTGCGCACCGAGGACCAATGAGAACAGCAACCCCAACGAGCCGCAGAATGAGAAGGAGCACGCGGCAGCCTTAGATGGTTGGGTGACCTGTTGAATGGGTTCTAACAGATGGGTTCTCCGATGCACACACCGTAGAATCGCCTTTTTAGCTTTGGGCTTACTGTTGGGGAAGTTTGAGTTGGCTTTCGGTTTGGGCTTGCTTTGCGTTTGGTTTGGGCTTGTGTGGATTGCTATGGGTTGTTTTGGGTTTGGTTTGGGTTGGTTCGGGGATTGATTTTCAGCCATGCTTAGACGTGCTTCTTTTTTTGTCGTAGTTTTGACAGCCTGGAGTAGGTGTTCGCCCCGCTTAGATGAGGGGGCTCGACGAATTTCTTTCAATAAGCTAAGTCCAATACATCGAACAAGGTATGATTGTAGTTTTCGATTTTTGGTTCTGCTGAGTTTGCTTGGCCCATTGCGGGTGCCAGCCATTTGGACTGGAGTTTATGTTGGACACACTGCCAGGATGCTGCAAGGGAACCCGTAAGAATGTTTTGGGCCTGCACATCTTTGTGGCTTCCGAAGCCAAAAGGTAGAAGGGGGTGAAATGTGAAACAGGCGGGTTGGGTGGCCTCTGGATTTGCAGCCCGAGCCTCTTCTTGATTCATGCTGAAGGGGGCAGGGGGTTGGAAGAACGAAGTAACGAAGCTGGTACCTCTGGAACATCGTGACTGTCTCTACAGTGGATGGACCAAATGCTGGGTGGTTTCTTCCATGGGGCGGCATCCATCCCGACTGGGGCAGAATTTTGTGGATCCGCAGTAGTAGCACAACAGTGATCAACTTTCTGGGTGTCCAGGATCGACCCAGCTCAGAAAGTCGGATCGATCCCAAGGGTGTTTAGAGGTGGAGCCGAACAATGCGAAGTCTAAGCAATAGGCTTTCTTGGTGCGCGGCCATTTTGGGTGTCTGAAGCTCAGAATAGTTGTATCGTAGCCTTGAGGTGCGGGTGGAGTTGTGCATCCTTAGGCCCCGGTAGAATCGTTTTGGGATTTTGTTTTCTCATGAGCCTGCAACAGGTCAATATATTTGCTCAAGGCTTCTTGGTTCAAGGATCATGCTCCTGTACCCCAGAGATTATGTGGCCGAGAGCCGTACGGCGGGCAAGATGCAAGCTGAGCACCAGAAAACCCCTTCAATATAGCGTGGGACGATTACTCAAGCACCGCTTCAGTCTTGGGCAATGCTACTTCAGAATTTGCGGATTTTATTTTCCATTGGAGCCAGTAATTACTGCTTGAGCTTCCTTTGAAAATATTGGGTTGAGTTTCCAGTGGGCGTCCCCTAAAACAAGACACCCAACCCCCCCCCCCCCCCCCACATTCTTTTTATATACAAGAGTGCTTCTTGATCTTTAACTCCCCTCAACCATCCAAGGGTTAACCTTAACCTTATGCGAAGGTAGCTTGGCTTTTTGTTCAATTCATAACAATAATGAGGATGTACTTTTTATCACTATCATCATCCCGGCACATGATCCCTAACAGTGGTCAAAAAGTGAGACGGGAACCTACGCAAGTAACATGAAAGTAGCCGCGGCAGACTCGCACGGTTCTGGTCTTGCACGTGCTCCTAAAGCAGTTCCTTTTGAGGCTCCGGTGGAAAGAGGTGTTGCGCAAGACTTCTCTGAAAGAAATTCTAGCAGGTTTCTGTAAATTCCTGGGCAGATCTCTGTGGAAGGTTCTTTGCAGGACCCTTTACACCTTCAAATGGTCTGGACCGCCGGCACTGATCAATATTACTCTATGATTTTGTATAACCCCCAGAAACAACGGGCAGCAGCCATTTGGCTTGCTGATGCTACCGCATCCTACTGTTTAAGGCCATGATTTGCTGGAATCCACAAAAAAACGTGGTTTTCTGCAGGTGTAAATTCCTTGTAAAACGTCGTGCTTGACAAGGTCACACGCATACCCACCCGCCACCCAAATAGTGCGGGGCCCTCTGACTCAATGTTAAGCTCCAGTAATACTATATACAATGGAAACTCAAATCCAACAATATTTCGGTTTTCCTGTTGGTTTCCCTTAACACCACAAGAAGGGTACCAAATCGAAAAAAAGACAGGTCCAAATGGTCAGAGAGCTCCTTTGGTTCTTCGCCGAGTTTCGTCGCCAACACCCGGACAAGGCCCAGGTTTTGTCTATTCCAAAAAGCGCAATTGGCAGACATTCCCTCCCCGCCTCCTCGCCCCATTTATGGTAGTTTTTTTCCCCGGCTGCTGCTTCGAGGTGCTTCCCCCGCTCCCAGACCTAAACCGATCGGGTGAAATCCCTGCAGACCCGGTGTGAACCGGGCAATGCGATCTCCCCCAGAAGGACGCCCCCCTAAGTGAGGGCGTCCTGACTCGAGTTGGCAAGCCGGAGTGGTCCCCTTTTCGTGTCGCTTGTACATCCGTCCCAAGAAGGGGAACCCTGGGAAAATCCTTGCCCGAATTTACTCAGCTCAACCTGTTTTTTGCTGACTCAACTTGGGCATTGAACAAACTAAAGCATGATGTCAAAAGGGGGACAACCACCCAGATTTGCAGCATCCCACTACTCTCAAACAGTAATCCCAAAACAAACCGACTAATCCAAAGTGCCAAGTAGAGCCAAGTCGAGTTACTGTTCTTACCTGGTTCGAGTTTTGCCAATGTGACGCTCATCTCAGGATACTTGCCGTAAAGCAAGGGCCAAAGTAGTTAGAATGGGGTGGGGCGTTTTGAAAATCACATGAAGTCATGACGATTCATAATTTTCAGTGTGTTTTGTTCCGATTCGTTTGCAAAGAGTTGCCAACTGCGGGGGAGCAGCCCTGTAGTTCGCTTTGGACACTGCGAGCCGAGCACCTGGGCCACAGGGGAGACCAAGATGGCGGACCAAGAGACCAATCGAGCGCTTCGACTTCAACGCTTTGCCGATCCTTTTTGCCTTTGTGGGTGTGCTTCGCTTTCCCTTTCAACCAGCAAGATTGCGGGCGGCCCAAGTTTGGCCAAGACGAATGCAGAGCGTTTGTTTCGAAGGAAACAGATCAACCCTGAGCGCAAAGATGGGGAGCACATGAAAACCAGGGATGGGTAGAACCATTTGGAAGTATAGTTGAGAGAGAGGCAGCCCCGGATTTGGATCATGTACATACACCAGCAACTCTTTGAAGGACCCCTCAACAAAACGTGTTTGCATCAATGAGCTTTATGTGCACTACCATAGCGGATTAGTTGCCCGATTTGATACTTCAAAGTGGGTGTCCTCGGATTTGATTGCCAACAAATACCTCCCCTTTTTCAAGGGCTTTGCGGCTTGCAGTGTCCAATCTGGTCTCAGAATTGAGCGATCCCTGCATGCCGAAAAAGTTTGCGTGCCAAAGGATCCCCGCCTTGGCTGACGAGCGGGGCCAAAAGCGGCAAGCGCTTCTCTGCCACGGCCGGTCGGCCAGGCAGAATCGGGCGCCGCTTTAGGCGTTTGGAAGGCTCGCAGTGTTTTGGCGCGAGCGCCTCTTCGCGCGCGAACGGGGGACCACCCCTTCAGCGTTGCGCAGCGGCCAAAAGTCCCCGTCGGCCAAGAGTAGGGCCCCTTTTTGTAACCCTGGTGTCATGACTGGCGGCATAGTCCAAAGGGAAAGCCACACGTCAGCTAGCTTGACACCCGGGGCTTGGTCATATCTTCTTGCCCGAGAATTTGCGGAACACGGGTTCGAAGACCCAGCCTCCAGTTTGCTCAGCTTGTAGCAACATCGTAACATCCCCCAGCGGTTGTTTGAACCCAAGGAGTCACCCGGAATGGAACTGTCTCACCTCCCGGATTGCACAGAGTCCCCGCTATTTCCACGGAAGCCGTCGGATTTGAGCACCTTTGCCCTTCTGATGGTACCCAGGTGCGATTCAAATTGGCGGGGTGTTGGTTCCTTTCAGCGGTGGAATTTCGAGAACTCTGTTGCACAGGATGCATGCGGAAGGCAAAAGAAAGGCGCAGAGCTGGATGGATATTTCAATCCGCGGAGCTGGACGACTTGCTGGGATACTGCCCTGCGAATCAGCATGGAACCCTAAAACAGGTGGTCCCCAACACGATTCCTGCTTGATTTTTGTGTTTTGGGTTCCATGTTCCATGTTAATCTGCAGGAGAGCCTCCCATGTTTGTCAAGGGCCCCCCAAAAGGGGCCCCTCCAATCCCAACAGGGTCTCATACTGTGGATGGACAAAATCCTGCACCACTTCGAAACCATGGGCAACCATTGTTTGTTGGTATTTGCGGGGGAATCATCATTCCAGGGACTCTTAGGTGGTGCAGGATTTTGTCTATCCACAGTAGGGTCTATTTAAGGGTGCTTGTGGGTTTCTGTCATTGCAAAGGGCCCTTGACGAACATAGGGTAGAGGGTTGCTACACTGTGTGTGTAGCAATTCTTGCAAGCGAGCAAGCAAGAAAGGAAGAAGGCGAGCAGGCAGGCAGGCAGGCAGGCAGGCAGGCAGGCAGGCAGGCAGGCAGGCAGGCAGGCAGGCAGGCAGGCAGGCAGGCAGGCAGGCAGGCAAGCAAGCAAGCAAGCAATGGCCCGGCTCGACAATCATAGCGTGCAAGCAAGCAAGCGAGAAAGAGACAAAGCCAGCAAGGCGACAGCTCTTACAGCGTGCTGGAAAGCACCCAAGCAGGGAAGCAAGCAGGCAAGCAAGAGACAAAGCAAGCCTGCAAGTGTTGTGTGTGTGTGTGCGCGGGCGCGCGTGCGGGCATGCGGGCGTATGGGTGGGCGGACGGGCAGGCGGGCGGGCGTACGAGCGTGGGTGGGTGTGCGCGTTTCTGTTTGTTTGTCTGTGTGTGTGTGGCTGGGTGTCTTTGCGTCTTCAAGGAACCACGTTTCGGGACTTTGTTAGGGTCTCCTAAAAAACGACACACCCATTTGATCCTTTGAACATTTGGGCTGGTCCTTTGTTCGATTCGCTTGAAAAGGGTGAAGAGGTGCTCTACCATCCAGAAGCTGAAAGGCTCCTTTTCTGCGCCCAACTGTTCTTTTTCCGCAAAGGGGTGCAACAGTGGCACCATTCCCTCTTTGTGGGTAAGTAAATGGGATGACGCATGACAGCGGGCTGGAATTACAGGTGTAGTCTCGAAGAACCACCGGAGGTACTTGCAGATGCTCGCGCAGTGCCCAGAGGACGCCCAGTACGTGGAGCAGGCAAAGGACTGCCTGAGACTGCACTGATGCGGCTGGAGTCCAGCGTCCTTGGCTGAAAACAAGGAGACTTCCTTTATGCACCTTGGTGGCCACTTGGTGCAAACAACCTTCGAACTCTGTGGAGAAGGACAAGCAGCAAGCAAGTCAAGCAGTTTCGCTGGGATCGACCCTCCTGTTAACCAAGGTGAGGGGTGCCACCCGGTGATGCACTCAGCTTGGGACCCAGTCAAGTTGGGATGGCCTCAAGTTGACATATCAGAGGCTACGCAACTATACGCATGATCTTATGAACATTATTAGGTACCCCTTAGTTGGTGGTTTGGATGGGCTTGGGGATTTGAACCCTGGTTCTTGTAGAGGATAGAAGCAAACCAGCCCTTAAACTCCCAACCACCAATCCAAACCATCCATTAGAGGGAAGGGGTGTGAGGCGCCTTGTCTTGAGGGTACCCTTTCTTTGGCACACGAGCGAGCGCCAACAGGAAAACCCACCCAAGATGGAGGCTTCCCCTAATTGTTGATAAACCATATAAAACATATTAGAATATATATATATATGTATATACTATGGTGTAAAAGTTCTTTCTCATTTTTATATTATGGACACAATTTAAATTCACAAGAGATTAGGCTCCAGGGAATTTGGGGGCTCCGGTGGCCGACGCAGCGGCGCAGGAGCGGCAGGCCGCCTACGACGCCTGGCACGCGGAGCGCGACCCGGCCGGGGCGTTTGCAGTTTGCGTTGCGCGCAATTTGGGAAAAATGGAGCCCGAAATGGGTGTGGGTCAAAAATTAACCACCAGGGGACTGCAGGTTTTAGTCTTTGTTTGCATTTGCCAGTGTTCCATTCTGGGTACCTATTTTTGACCCACACGCAAATGTGCGTGTCTATCGATTCGCCAAGTTGGTACGTTGTTGGTGACCTAGGTTTTCAGCCATAAAATATCCCCGTCACTGGAATTTAACGCTGCTAATCAGTTGGCTAACCACTAACTCGGAAGGAGATCCAGGCAACCCCTCAGAGGCTCCATTTCCCAGAAGGAGACCCCAAACCAAAAAATCGGATTTGGGTCTGGGAGCGTCTTTCTGGATAGTGGTTTTAAAGAAGCCAGAAGCCAACCAACCAGTTTTGGCAGGCGTTGCTGATGTTCCGGCGGCTCTTCGGCGCGGCGTGGACCGAGGCACGGAGCCGCACGGATCGTTTTTTTCCCCCCCCCCCCCCCCCCCACCCCTTGGTGGCTGCCCCACCAAAAATGGTCTTCTCCAAAAAGGGTTCCTGTTTTTTCTTCTCCAGGGTCACTGAACAACTGAGTTTTGGAAAGGTACTGTACCTAAGGGAATCACCTGCTATATATATATATGTATATATATATATATATGTAGTTTTTTGTTTATATTTTGTTTGCATTCCTTTGGGGGGTAATGTTGACCCCATGTTAATCAACCCCAGCTTATCACTGGGGGGGTGTCCAACTGGGTTTAGCGGGGAATCATCACTTTTGGAGGGGAACCCCCCCTGTCTAAAACTGGGGTTGATCAATATGGGGTTGACATTTATCCCCTGAACCATTTGCCCACTCGTCGCACGAAATTTGCATCTTTTCTCAGGACTCGACGGAATTCTCAAAATCCATTGGGACTGGAACCCCTGAAAACCCCTGAAAACGGGTCGGCTCGAGGTTCAGGCAAATAGATGCACAAAAGGGTGTTTAATTCTTCGGGGTTACTTTTGTTTGGGTGAATCCGAAGCCCATTGTTGGGACCGTTTGGAGGCAAACAAACCCAAATGTTGCGAAGCCATTTCTGTGATTTTGTGGTGCGGGACAGGTTGTCGTTTTTGTTGACAGACTCAAAGCTTGGCGATTGAGCCCCGCAAGTGGGTTTGTGTTTGTGTCAAACTAGGGGACCCCCAACACTGGTGGTTTTCCTTCTTGGCTTCCATTCAAACCAACCTTAAGGCGTACCCTCAAGAGTTTTTCGTTGGTAGCAGCCAGGTATGGTTCTGCTTGCAGTTTGTTGAGTCCATTTGTTAAATCCCAGTCAAGTGCTCACCCAAAGTTTTTCGGCAACCCCTTCACTTGAGATGAGCTTTTGGGGAATCCCCGATTGTGGGTCACTCGTCAAATCGCGCGAGAGTCCTCGCTCGACGTCGACTCGAGGAGTTCACCCAGGAAGTGCTCTTCCCAGGATCTAAGGCCGGGCTCGGTTTCGGGCGGTGTCGCTTTCGCGCGAGGCGGCTAAACAAAAAGCGGAGACGGCAACCCGAGCCCAAGGGGTTTGCGGTCTGTGGTCCTTTTTGGGTTGGAAAGCCTACTTTATAGACCCCAAATAATAGGGGGTGCCCACTTGGATTGTGTGGGGAATCAGACTACTTTTGGAGGGGCCCCCGAAGGTCAAAGGTTGGCTCGAGTTCGTAGACAAGCTCCTCCATTTTTCTGATGGAAATATGGTGGGGTTGATATGGGTAAAAGGAGCTCGGAGGTTCTGTACTTGGAGATCCCGACTTTCAGGTGGTATTGAAAGCTTTGCAGACTTACGAAATATATTCGCCTGCGATTTGTTCTTGTTGCCATGGGCATGACTGGTAAACGTGTCAGGTGTTTTCCGTTGAACTCCCTGTTTGAGACGGTTCCAAGGGGTTGAAAAGGGAGGCGAGTTGTGAGAATGAGGGGTTCGGAAACCTGACTCCTGTGATAGCCAGGAATCACTCGCCCCTTTTAGTGGGACTTCGGTGGGAGGGCGTGCAATTCTCACAGCTCTGATAGATGACCAACGGAGGGCATAATAAAATATGGGTTTTAGGTTGCCACTCTTTGTGCATGTTTGCCAACAACTTCTGGGAGTGAACTAGCTTTTTTCTGGTCACAAAGGCATTGGGCAACCAATTTCAAACATGGCGAGACCGTACCGGGGTTTGCAAACTGCTCAGAGTGTTTCTCAAAGAGCTGCCTTCATGTTGCGAAACCTCGTGCCAACCTTCGGCCATCCATGTGTGTCAAAATAGGGGGAACCCCAAATGTCGTGTCGTTGAAGTCCACCAACAAAAAGTGTTCTGACAAAATGCGTACCCATGTGAATTGACAATTCCTAGCATGTATCATTATTATTATTAGTGTTATTCGTATTTGTTGAGGGTTTCCGCTTCTTTGGTGGGGGTGCTGCCCGGTTTTCGGGAACTCTGGGTGCTAAAGGGCCCATGTCTCGTGCGCCTGTTTTTTGTGGCCGGGCAAGCGCAGGGCCCCGAGCGAGAAGCTTCGCTGCTGGAAGAAAACTGCGGAGTTCGGCGCTCGCCCCGGTTTTCCCGCCTTTTCTGTTGTTTTGGTTTCTGTTGAAGTGTTGTTCGCCCACGTTTTGAGCCTCCAAAAGGGGACCACTAAACGGAGCTCGATTTCAATATGATGGCTTTGTCGGGTGCCGTGTTGATTTTCAGGAGGGCACCCAGGATTAAGGCCAGATATAGTAACGCAAGGCTTGCTGAGCCCTCAGTGGCGTGTGTGCGGTGTCCTGTTGCAAAGGAGTTTTTTTTTCTTGTTTAAAGATTTTGCATGGCACCAGTGTCCTCTTCTGACTAGTCTAGGCAAACTAGTCAAATTATAACGAGGAAAGGGGGTTCCCTTACTTCTGGTTTAGCAATTCAAAAGTGATGCAAACTTGCTCATCAATCAGAAGCGCACAGGACCACACCCTTGATTTTGCTCGTTTGTTGTTCTGGCGGGTGCGGTAGACCAAATGAGCAATTGGCAATAGTATTTGCCACCCACTTTCCTGCAAGCACCAGGCGGACAAGCCACATTTGCAATATTTTGTCAAGTCGCGTGCTCGTGCCTTGAGACCGTCACGCACTCGGACCGGTACGTTTTTGGCCTCCGCAGCTGAACAGCCCTCCTGGCCTTTGGGAAGGGGGGAGATTTGCATCTTAGGAATGTGGGACCCGAGCCATCCAAACTTTTGGCTTCAATGGTACTCGGTGGAGGCAACATGCCACCACTTTGCGTCCCTCCCTGGTTACTTGTTACCCACTATGAACTCTACGTAGCTGGAAGCACTGGGTTGTGCGACAAACTACCTGGTTGCCCAAGTTTTCTGTGCATAGAAAATCAGGCGCTGGTCTTTTTGGCTCGAGGCGGGGGGGGGGTCAAGTGCTGGAGACCCACAGAGCCCCCAGCAATAGCGTGACTCATCTGTGCTCCGCAAAAGATTGAGTTGGGTCCTCAAAAGAGCACCCTGGACGCAATAGACGGGTGCCCCCTTTTTTGGTTGAATCCTGGAGTATGCAAGTCTTGTCAAGTGGCCAAGGGACCGTGCTTTTGCAAGGACTCCCTCCAGATCTGTGGTTAAAACTTCCTTTTTGAGGGTTTGGGATAGGCAACACAGATTCCCACTTCAGGGAGCCATGGGCAGACAAACTTAGCCAAGCTACACCGAATCTGCAAGAAAGGACATCCAAAGCAACCAACTCAGGGGCCAATCACCTAAAGAAAAAGCCTCAACAGAAGCCACAGCAACAAAAAGGACACCCCAACGATTTGCCGCGCCCTCGCGCGGCCGCTCTTTGAATCGCGGCCGTAAGTTTCGCGATGGGATCTCGCCGGGGCAAGTTCCAGGGGTGTCTCCGCCCTGCTTGGCCGTAGGTTTGTTTGGCTGTGGTTACCTGGTGAGCAGACAATTCATGCTACCTTTTGGTAGATTACTAGAGGGTTTGTCGGGATGGTCATGGGGATTTTAGACGGAGTCTCCTTCAGCAAAGCGTCTTCTGACGTTGGAGCCTTAGATGCGCGAGGCATCGCAGGCGCACGCGTGCTGGTTGACACAGTTGGAATGACATGGGCCCATGCAGATTGAGTTCCGAATTTTCGAAGCAGCTGACCGTGGCCCACAGAAGGTGATTCGTCTCCCAGTCTGCGGCTCACGCCGTGGCTACCATACCTTCTGCCTACTTGATGCCAAGATCCTGAGCCCAAGCTTCCGGGAGAGGCTGGCCAAGGAATGCATGACTTACGCTTTGCCAGAGTCCACAGGTGTGCGGCGGAGTTGCCTAAGCCTCCTAAAGCATGGTGCCTTGTGGTGGCTTGTGCCGGGTATCCGCTGGATTCCTCAGGAAGAGTGTTAGAACTAACAGACAAAAATGCTCAGCTTCGCCATCCAACCTGTTGTCTGGCGCGGTCGGTTGGCTTGGTGCTATGTCTTGCTTTGTGCAAAACTTTGGGCCAGGATCATCAAGACCTACTCGCCGACCAACGGCTGGGGCTTCATAATTTGCGAGGAGGCGGGGGCTTGGAGGGGCAAGCGGCCGATGGATCGGTCGGGCGGATCGTGGAGGCTGTGGGCACTCGAAAGTTTGATTGCAGCGGGGCCGAGCTTTTTGCTTTGGTTTAGGGGGTGGAGAATTCCGAATCAGGGGGAAACATGTCGGTAGAGCGAAGAACAAAGGTGGTTGGTGACGGCCTCCTTCAAAAAGAAGCAACGTTTGGCGGGCTCCCCGGTCAACCCAAGAGAACCTGCTGACCCTGCGCAACTGGGGTGCTGGTTGGCCTTAGCCATGAGCCAGGTCTCAACAAGTTTGAAGGTTTGGAGGAAACCACCCACGGCCATGCTAGGGCGGGGGCTTGGGCTGCTATGACTGTCTGGAGACCAAAAACAAGCGAGCGAGCATAGGGTCGATGCCCCAACCAAATGCTGCGGAGGTCCGATCCATGGGTCGATCCATGGGTCGGTCCATGGGTCGCCTGGGAAGGTGCCTGTTGATTGGGCTTGCGGCTTTGGCTCTTTCGACAGATCGGCTTTTTGTTGCCCTTGAAACTCGCCGCTTGGGTAGAGATTGAACATGATATACGGCAAAGCCCTTTGGCTGGTCGATTTGGGCGTTTCAAGAATGGGACTCACTCGGGGAACATTGGAGCTTTGTGATGGTTTTTGGAACATGTTGGGACTTAAACTGACGGGGCTTTTCCAGAAACAAATGGGTCCAAGTGAAAGGCACCATCGGAGACACCGGAGTGCCCTTGACTAGAATGACGCTGTGTGCGAATGTGTCAATGTGTGTGTGTGTGTGTGTGTGTGTGTGTGTTTTAAGGGTTTCCTTTTGGTTTTCCTGCACCACCAGGAAAAAAGGTACCCTCAAAAAAGACGCACCTGAATGCTGGTGGTGGAACAGGTCAAAATCCTAGCTTTGGTGGAAGGGGTTGTTTCAAGGTGCGGTGGTGTGACCGAGCGCGGGCAGCAAAACACTCCTCACGCGAGGTCAGCAAAGACATCTTCGTCCACTGGAGGCCGGAAACTGCTGGCTGCTGGCGGTAGCTAAGCGAGCGGTATTGTAAGGACCTTAACAATTAGAACGGGGTTGCGTGGAACTTTAATACCACATGCAGGGAGGAGCATGCTAGTAATTCTCACAACTTGCCGATAAACTGATCTTTGTTGGGCCTGTTCGGTTGTGGCAGTGCCTTACTTGCGCCAAAACTGGCACAGCGCCGCTGCTTGCAAGTGTGTCAGTTTCCTTGCGCAGGAGATTGGAGTAGGACCATGGGAGGCTTGTATCGCTTCTTGCAGCGAGCCGTCCCCTTCGGGTGAAAGGTTTTGGTTGCAGCTGCGTTGGATCCGACGGCTTTCATGGGCCTCGGAGAATTGGAGTGGCCGCAACAAGGAGCGGCTCGGGTTTTTGGGTTTTTGGAGGTTTTGGGCCCAGTTGGGGGGCGGGGGGGGGGGCATGCTTTGAGAGTCGGGATCGCCTTTTTAGGAATGCTTCTGTAATGAATGTTGACTGTTTCTAGGGGCTATCAAGGTGAGTAGCTGGGGTTGTTTCTCTTTAATCTGCTGCTTGGGTGACTTTGATAATGAAACAGTGGGGCCGGTACTTGAGCCTTGCACGATCCTAGGATCAACATAATTAGCGCAGCAAGGGGCTATTGGAGCAACAGGCAAGCGGCTGCAACTTGATTCTTGTGGGGCCTTTTGAGTGGCACACAAAGTGTCATACCCTTGTTTGTACCATCCACACGAAGTGAGGTGTCAAAGAATGACAAGAAACACCTATTCGGGTAGACCATTGGTCAACGCTTTCCTTCGCCGTCCCTTCCGCAAGAATTTTGTTCTAAACCCGTAACCAATATTGCAAGGCAGGCCCTTCATTTCCGGTTCCACACCCCCAACAAAAAGCAATCATCACAAGGCAAAGTGTCAGAGGTTGAGCCTTCATCCCCCCCCAAAAAGAAAGAAAGAAAGAGCAAACAACTATCAAGCACAAGAAGAGAAATCCACAACAGACCCCAGTCGCCTGAACAGAGCCAAACCTGCTGCACAGCCGTTCTAGCTGGTGGAACCCCTTCTGCGCAAAACTGACGAAGCCCTCAGTAGAAACCTCGCACACCCAGCCAACAAAAACCGCCACGCCCCCTTTGGAACACCTCGGCCGCGAATCGAAACCGCCATGGCCTTGGCGGCGCGGGTGGCGCGGGTGTCGAAGGGCGGCCTGGCGCTGAAATCGGTGCCGGGACTGGGAAGATGTCTGGAAGTCGCCGAGCCGGTGGAGTGTGGGGTGCTGGCTGAGGAGCATTCGGTGCGTTCTGCCGATCACTTGGCCAAAGCGAATTGAGCTTTTGGTTTGCCGTATTTTTAGGCAAGGTTCAGAAAGGTTGACCTTTTTATTTATGGATCTGTCGTCGCCTTGTGTTCAAAGTCAGCACGGGATTTGTGTCACTAAGGCTTCCAGCCATACGTGTTGATCGTTTTGACTTTTGGACTCCTAGATGTTGGAGGGGTTTGGGACATATCCCAAAGGTGAAGTTCATTCCCATCCTGTAAATATATGTCAACACAGGGAAAATGGATCCCAAGCCCAGGTTTCGGTCTTCCCTGGTGGTTTTCCCTTCTTGGACCCTGAAGGGCACTTCCCTTCGTCCACACAAAAGCTGAGCTCCGCGCGCGTGTGCCAGGAGGCTCCTTTGGCGCTGGGCTCATCCTTGGGCCGTGCCTTGGCACGGACAGCGGACGGAAGCCTGGAGGCGGGAAAGAGGTGGAGGTTGCTATGGGATCAACGGGGGAAGGTACAAGGGGGGGTAGTTGAGAGAGGGTACATTATGGGATCCCTAAGGCCCAGGGAGGTTGCTTAGATTATGGGATCCCTAATTGGAAAGGACGAACACCTGCGGTTTTCTGGTGGTTTAATTTTGACGCATACCCAAATTACAGGATCCCTAACCGGGGGTAGGTACAAGGAGGGTAGCTGAGAGAGGGTCCATTGGGGTTCCTTAGGGAACCTTAGGGACCCCCCCTTAGGGATTCCCGAATGAAAGGAGAATCCCAAAGGAGATTGCTTAAATGAGAAAAGTGAAGAGCAAATACGAAGCCAACAGAAGGTTTGTAAACTATAATCTAAAGGATCATCTCAAAGATTATTGCTTCTTCCAAAGGGAAGAGACAACAAGGACGTTGTGAAGGAGGGGAAGCCAAACGCGGATCGTGAAACAAACAATTCCAAATGAAAGTGACACCCCCCCGCAAAGGGGGCCCCCCGCCCCCAAATACGCCCCCTTGGAAAGGCTGAAATAGACCGTTTGCCGAGGTGTGTTTGGGGTGGTGGTGCGTTTGGGGGTCCTGGGAAAAGTTGTACTGTGGATAGATGCAAAATCCTGCACCTCAGCAACCCTGGAAGGATTCGATTCCCTGTGAAACCAACAAACAAAAGTTGCTTTCAACCATGGTGTTATTTCGTGCGAAACGGTTTTCGCAACCATCCACAGAAGGACCAGTTCGGTGCCATGGCACTTTTCCCACACTGCACGGTTTCGAGATCTTGCTGACGAAGCTTCTTTTAGTAGAATCTACAAGCTTCATCCGCCAAGTCTGTTTCTGAAGCTGAAGCTTCAGCAACCAGTTATTGTCTTGGGGCGCCGGGCGGCCTTCGCAGGCCAGTGAGGACCTGCTGGCAGCCTGCTTGGAGCTGGAGCTGGAGGCGCCGAACGACGAGGCCAGGGGGGCGGAGTTGAAAAACGTTTTGGTGACACCAAGTTTCGTAGAGCCGAATGGGTTTGACATGCATTTTCGTGTATTTCGTGGAGCCAAGTTTCGTTTTGTCCATTTTTTGGGAGTTGCCCGAGGTGAGGAGTCGATCTTCGTCCTCATTTGTATTTTTCGGTTCACATTCAATATCAATATTGCCTATCTGAACACATGGGCGTGTCGTTGTTTCGGGGAATCGCCTTTTGGTTGGTTTCACAGGGAAAGGACGCCGTTGCCATTTGGTGGGGTTCCCTGATTTGGAGCCAGACCCATATCGCTCTGTGGGGACAAAAGCTGGGTCCAATTGCACCGAAGGCCCACGAAAGGAAGTCGAGCCTAGATCCCAGACCTTTCGCCACTTCGCCTGATGGAGGAAACCCATTTCGCACCTCCGTAAATACCAAGCAACGTCATGGTTTCTTTGACATCCGTTTCGCACCTAGGAAACCCTGGAAGGATCCGATTCCACTGCAAGGAACCAACGTTATGGCGTCTTTCGACCCTGGTGTCCTTTCGGGCATTGGATTTCGCAACCTCCGTATACGCGATTCGGATCCACAGGGTATGGCCTTGAATCCAAACCACAGGGGCCTCCGATCTCTTTTGGGGGGAAAGCTCATCAGAAGTTTGCCTGGGCGCATGCCACGGGTCCCTCGGAAAAAGGACCACCTCAGCAGGGGTGGTGGGCGAAAACCGATATACCCAAGGCACGAAGCAACCTGTCGTCGCTTAGGCGCCCCATCCTGAACGGAAAGGCCTCATGAGTCATGAGTATGGTCAACAAAACCAGCACGCCCATCCGACAAACATCTTAAAACATGGAGAATTCGCCACGGCCGCCTACGGCGCGCGTTCCAACTTCCATCCATCAGCTTCCCCCTGATTGGTGGTTTGGCGGTTTGGAGGTTCAACGGGGTGGCTTCCCATTCACCCTCTACCAGAATCCAAACCAATCCAAGCCACCACTTCGTGAAGCGGGCAGCTCCCTCCGCCTCTCGGACACGTCCGAGGCGAAATCCGAGGCGCTCCAAGTGGCGGCGGAGCTGGAGCTCGGGTCCGACGCGCAAACCGACGGCGAGCTGCTGTCGGCCCTGAGGCGCAGTGGGGACGCCGCCAAAGACAACGGGGGCCCCCGGTGCCAAGGGCACCATTCTGGTGGTCGCCCTTGGTTGCCAGGATCTCACCCCCTGAAAAAAACCCGTTTCGGACTGGAGAGCCACTTTTTGAGAAGACCACCTTTTTAGTGGTAGACAAAGAGTTGGGACTTTTGTTGACCTATCTCGGGAAGTGAGTTGTAGAACTCGGATCCCAGATATCTTTGTGGCAGGTAAGCCATTTGCCTGGTATTCCAAGGGTTCCCTGGGTTGCCAACTCGGGAAATGGGGAAAAAAACGCGGCCTCCAGTTTCTAAGGGTCCCAGGCTTTGTATGGTTTCTCCTTGACGAGAGGTGGTGACTGGAAGCAACTGGAAGCACATTGCAAGCCAAAGAGAGAATCAGATCGCCCAGATGGAGTTCACTCCCTTGTAGAGTTGTCATTGTAGCAACGAAGGGAACCACCATTTGGGCGTGTCTTTGTTAGTGGACCCCCCAAGATGGTGGGTGTTCCTTCTGGTTTCCCTTCAAACACCACAAAAATGAGTAGCCTCGAAAAGGACAGACCCATTTGCCACAGGGGACATTTTGGGTAGCTCCACGCTTTCGTTGATACCGACTCGGCTTTGTTTGGTGGTGGTTTGGGGGGGATCGGCTTTGTTTGGTGCTGCATGGTTTCTAAAGGGTGGTTTCACGGGATCAATTTTTGAAGGGCGTTGAACGAGGGAAGGTTTTACGGTGGCCTTGGACACGTGACTTATGCGTTTGGATGAACTGGTAGCGGACACTATGTTCTTCCCAGTTGAGAGCTGTTGCAAGTTTCTCGAGCGTAGGACCGAGCATGATTCTTGAGGGTATCCTTTTTGGGTTTGGTTTAAAGGGAAAGCCACATACCCACACGGACCAGGACCTGCGTGTGTCATGTTCAGCTGGGGGCAAAGGCCGAGGTAGTTTCACATTGTAGTATCCTTTTGAGGGTACCCTTCTTGCTGTTGCTTTTGGGTTCCCCGTTGTTGGGAACCCTCAGGGACACCAACGGGACACCTCTTGGTGGTCTTCGGGAAACCAACATCTGACCCAGTTCTTGCCGCGGATTCAGGCCAGAGATGCGCCGCGCGCTGGGCGAGCGAGCGCCTGAGGCGCGGCAAGGGCCACAAGCGCGTGCGAGTTTTCGGAATCCCAAGTCAAGTTACGCTAAGAGCGTGGCGGTAGCATGTAATATGTCGGCAACAGGAGCCACCATGGCACGTAAGCCATTTCGGCTACCATTCCGTTGCCAGTTGCAGGTTAGGGGAAGTGACGCTGGCAGTGTCTGCGGCTCTGGTCAGAACTCTGACACCGGCGATGGGATACCCGGTGGAAGGGGAGGACTCATGTCAGATGGTGGCTTGCTGAATGTGCGATCCGAGCTGGAGAAGGAAGCTGGGTTTGAATCCTGAAGCACAACCCGCAAAGTCCGAAGACCAAACATCTTGGCCACTGTCCACCGCGTTGATGGAGGGAGTAGTGGCAGGCATTTTGCCATGCTGAAGCTGCAGCGCAGACAAGACACCGTGTGGAAGTCTCGGTATCTAGTCGCGCGTTGGCTCGGTGACCCTGAGGAGGCTCATTTGGCCAAGTGATCCCATTCATCACCCGTTGGCCAACCGGAGGCGAGTGACCTCACCTCGCAAATCCTTCCTGCGCTTGTGCGAGTTTCTTTGATCGCTGTGCCAGAGGGACTGCAGACCTTGTGGCACATACACGTCGTACAAAGGAAGTGTGTTTGACATGTTCGCGTTTGCTGACCTTGTTTGACCTCCATTTTTCTTTGTTTGGCGAAAAAGAAGGTTGGTCGGAAAACAGGCTCCCAACCATGAACACCTGAGTAAATGATGGTTGGTGAGATTTCTCATTTCCTGACAAGCCACATGCTATTTGTTGGGTATGCTAGCTGATTGTCATTAACTATACCCCAGTGGCAACTTGCTGGTTTCACATCATGTTCTGTTACTTTATAGGCCGAACAAAGTCCTTGACACTGCATTGTTCCTGCAACACGTTTTTGGTTTATCCACGGCCACGAAACTCCAGCTTCGTCTTGTCAGACCACCCAGCCACCTCCCTTTCTTGCCTGAAGCACCCTGCGGCATTCCGCGCGCGCTGGCGCGAGTTCCGCTCCGGCTAGATGCTCCGACTGTGGCGCCGGCGCTGCGACGTGAACGCCGAGACCTGGGCGGAGCTGCAGGGCTCGGAGGTGGTGTTCCTCTACGGCCTCTTCGGCGCCGGGGGCCTTGAGGGTGCGTGGAGGTTTCACCCTGAAGCAATTGGTGGTTTGGATTGGTGGCTTGGGGATTGAACTCCTGGTTCTTGTAGTAGAGTGAAACCACTAAGGGAAAGTGGTTTCCTTAGCGGTTCCCTTAGAGGCATCTCAAGGTTCCTTACAGCTTCTCGGCCGGATTGGCGACATCCAATCAACACGCTCGCGCGTCGCAGGATGGATTAAGGGTTCAACTTGCCCCTTCGCTTGCAACATCGGTGCTCATCAAACAAAAAGAACGCCCTCAAAAAGTCAGGTGCCCTCAAAAATGGGTCCCCCTTAAAAATGGTGGAAACCAAGTTGCTTCAAACCACCCCTGATTTTCCTTCCGAAGTTCACAGCCTGGCCTGACTGGCGAGAAGGGGTTTGCAACGCCTTGCAAAACGTTTGGGCGTTTGGTGGATGCCCAAAGGATTGCAAGCGAACCAGCCACATTCACTTGCATTTTTTGGGCATCTGCCGTACGATCTGCGAAAAGATTAGGGTTTTTGGGAGGGGGCAACCAAAGAAGCATGCGGACTCGGAATATTCGCGAGTGCAGGATTGGCGTATATTGGCTGTGGCTGAGCCTCATATGGACCATTCAGGGCAAAGCTTTGACTTTTTGTTGGACAAACCATTCCTGTTTGTGTGGTATGCCAGCGCTTTTCTTTATGTTCCCGTGTGGATATTTTTTGGAAGCATCTCTGTAGGGAAAAGTTAGAGCCCTATCACACATCAAAGAAAAGGGTCACTGGAAGCACTGAACCCGCGGAGAACCCAAAGGCAACCCTCAGACCCGCTGAGGCGCTCTCGCGATGGTCGAGCACAGCTGCCGACCCAACTGCCGGGTAGAATGGGATGCCGAGAGGCTCGGTGCATGTCTCAAGAGGAGTCGGACCCGCCCTCCCCCCTCCCCCCCTCCAAAGAAAAGGAGTCGCTTGAGAAAAGGAGTCGGTGGTGTCCAAATGTTTTCCCAGGCCCCACAAAATGGATCGTGTCCTTTTGACTTTTTTTTTCGTAAACATCCAGATGGGCATGGGTGTTTCTCTATTGGTTTCCTGTTGAAGCAAAAGCAGCCACATAGGCACCCTCAAAAATTGAAACGCCCATGTGTGGGCAAAGGATCAAGATGATCCAAGTGCAAAGGTCCAGCAAGGGCAAGCAAGTATGGCGATTAGCCATACCCTTCATTGTTTCGACATGAGCTTCGGATTTGGCTGGCTGAGTTTTAGGAGTCGACCTCAACAGCGGTGGACATGACTCACCGAACTCTGTCCAAAGGCTTGACTTTTAGCGAGACTTGCGCATATTTCCCCCTCCGGGCAGGGGCTTGTGGACCTGCTATTAAGCCAGCGTTACCCAACTGTACCAAATCAGATCGATCTATTCCAGTTGTACTAAAGTTGTGAATGAACTAAACCGAGTCTTCTGCTATTCTCGCAAAGAATAACCTTTATAAAGTGCTTGCTCAAGGTCCCTCTAGTACCCTCACACTGTTGTGTGCTTGTACAAGTAAAATTTGAAAGCAAAGAGTAAACGTTACTTGAATGCTCTAATTTCGTCCGGTTCAAGTACTTGCAGCTTCGAGAGCCTTCTTAAACAAAGAAGATACTCGAACTAAGTTTTCTTCGGGCTAAACGTTTCTTCAGTTAGAGCTCGTTAGCCCACTTAGTAAGCCCATTTGTTTAAGGGTCTTGTAGTGTGCAGTATCCTTCATGCCTGGGTCCGAAGTGCCTGTCCATAGTATCCATGTTGGGTTTTCGTGTTGTTTTTTAGAGAGAACAAGCCATGACTCGTTTATATGTTGCTATTCATCACCTTTAGCGGTATTTTCTCTGCCTTTCGCAAATGCACTCCCTGTCTACCCTCCCCCCTCCTTCTCCCAATCTGGAAGTTATAATTTCTGCCGAACCGGTCCCCTCTGGGCCCAGACAAGACTTGCGAATTCGATGGGCCTGAATTTCCTGATTTCCACGGGAGCCCGAATCAGGTGAAAGCAGTTGTTGGCATTTGCAGAAAAAACATGTAAATCATTCCCAGCTAGCTGAAAGCTGGGGCTCTATCTTCAAAAGAAGGGAAAGTGATTTGCGCACCTCGAAATGAAACCATGGTTGAAACGAACACATGGTTTCTTGGTGTTTATTGGGGGAATCATTTTCATCATTTCCTGGGAGCCAGCGCAATTCCGACTCCGCCACCGGGCGCAAGCGGCGCCACCCTTTGGCTGGAAGGCGCCTGCTGCGGCTGGTGGCGCTTCGCGCGTTGGACCGCGGGCAGCGGGTCACGCGGAGCTACCTGGCGCCTGCGGCCGGAACTCGGGTCGTCCGGGGGAAGTTCTTTCGGCGCTGGTGGGAGACGTGCCTATGGTTGTGAAAACGGCTGTGTCCGCTGTCTGTTTTTTTGGGGGAAGCCCCTTTTTGGTGATTTGAAAGAAGCCAAAAGAAGAAGAACTCCAATTTTTTTGGGGGCGTCCCCCTAAGGACACACCCATATTCCTTTTTGGGGTTGACCTCTCCAGTTTAAAGATATTTTTTCTTTTGGTGGGGTGATCTTTAAGGGGGACATGTAGGGAACCTTGCACTATAGAACGCACATTTCAGGCAAGCACCGGGTGCTTCCAGGAAACCACCACCAGGGGAACTACCTGGTAACTTATCCCAGTAATTCCGTTTCCCTATCTTGGAACCAAGGCAGCCGCCCTTTGAAAACCAACAGGACAATGGCGGGCTACCTTCTGAGGCATCCGGTCTACGCAGCGGAAGCCAGCCAGTTTTGGGGGGTTTGACCAGGGAGTCACTTGCCGGTGAGTCTTTTTCTGTCTCTGTACCTCTTGGTTCTGGGTCGACGCACAACTCAAGTGAGCCAGATTTTACTTCGAGTTTTTTCCTTGCGTTACACAATCTGCTGGGCCCTGCCCCCTCCTTCCCGAAGGCATGATTTTCTGACTGCTTGGAGGGGGAGGAACCATTTTGGTTTTCAACAAGCCCACTAATCTCAGTCTGGCCCCTCTCTGTTTACTCAGGCAACCCTTAGTTGGTGGTTTGGATTGGTGGTTTGGGGATTTTGCCCCCTGGTTCTTGTAGAGATGGAAAACCAAACGACTACTTCAAACCAATTGAAGGGAAGCTGAGTTTTGCTATCTCCTAGGACATGGGGCTGCTGCTCTCGCCGCGAAATGTGCGGCAGCAAAGTCTGCAGCCGCTCAGCCAGTTGAAGAAATGGACGTAGGGGAAGCCGTTTTTTTTTTTTGGGCGAGCTCGGCGGTTCAGGGGTAAAGAGAGCGAAACCCATGATTGTGGCAAAGCTCCTGGTAGAATGACGGAACGCAACCTTTAGGTTGATAGACGTCGGGGTCAAGACAGTGGGGGTGGGGGGGGGAAATTGCAGAGGTGATGCGGGAGATGCTGGAAATGCAAACCAGAATTGCTTTGGTTTCATTTTTTTGTTGCCAGCACTTTCTCATAGGGTGCAGAATTGCTTATAATGCTAATGCTGGAGATGCTATGGATGCTGGCTGGTGATGCTGGAAATGCTGGAGATGCTGGCTTGAGATGCTGGCTTGAGATGCGGCTGGAGATGGCTGGAGATGCTGGGTGGAGATGTTGGAGAGGCTGGAGATGCTGGCTGGAGATCCTGGAGATGCTGGAGATGCTGGAAATGCTGGAAATGCTGGCGATGCTGGAGATGCTGGAGATGCTGGAGATGCTGGAGATGCTGGAGATGCTGGAGATGCTGGAGATGGTGGAGATGCTGGAGATGCTGGCAGGTGATGCTGGCTGGTGATGCTCCTGTGCTGTGTAGAATTCCATGTTTTGAAATAGAACAATTCTGATTGAGATTCTTCTTTGATAGAACTGATGGATTCTTTCCTTATTAAATTCTATTTAAATTCAGTTAGAAATCGAGTGGAAGTTGATATTTGAAGTCGTGTTTTTACCTCTACTATGGTCGCAAAGCACAGTGTTGTGTACAGTGTTGTACCAAATAGGTGTCCTTTTTTAGGTCAGTTTGGTTGAGAAAAGATGGGATCCCACTGATTTCAGTTTGGTTCGATTTTCATTCCCATCAATTTTTCCCAAATGGACACCTATGGGAACCTCGTTTGGAGGGGTTTAAAGGGGACACGGTTTCCGAGTCCATACCCTCCCGAACATGTTGCCTTTCGGGCAATTCCCTGCGAATCACAGGCTGTTTGCTGAACTCAATTTGCCTGCTGTCCGCGTCAAAGGTTTTTTCGCGAGGTGCAAACAGGCATCCGAATTGGGAGAGGGGGGGAATTCTGTTTGTACTGCCATTTTCGTTTGGAAGCCCAGAAACATGGAATTGGGCACCGCACCCCCTTTGCTGAAGGGCGGGATTCCTTTCTTTTGCCTTGCCTCGCTTTTCAGAGGTCCGCACACTGGGACTACATCATCCCAAAAGGAAGTTCACTTTCAATTGGCCCAAACTGATGATGTCATGATGTCTATACAAATCAATTGTTCGAGGGAACACATGGGCTTTTCTTTGCCCTTTGCCTTGCTTTTCCTTCGCTCCCCCGTGCCCAGTACCCATTCTGTTCTGGGGGTACCGATTTTGGGTTGGTTTAAAGGGAAATCGGTTGGATCCTCCTTTTGAATGGGTTCAAAAGCAGACGTCTTTGGGCAAACATCAGATCAATGGGATTGGGGCCCGCATCATTTTTTCCCGGCTTGTAACCACGCTTTTTTTGCGGGGAATCCACAAATCGCAACTTGGGGGGTTGGGGGTGGCGTTGGCAGGGGTGGCGTTGACAGGGATGCCATACCCCACGCCTCAGGCAGGGCTGGGGCTTCCACTGCTGCTGCCCCCGCTGCGCCACACCCGGTGCCGATGCCTCAAGCGACGTGGACGACGCGGACGAACTCGCCGCCGCGGCGTTCTTCGAGGTGCTGGACCTGCAACGGTGCGTGGAGGGGCTGCCGCGCCTTGTCTTCTCGGGGCGCTTGGGTATCATGTGGGGTGGGGATTATCCCAGGAATTTGCTTTGGTTGGGGTGGGGATTCATGTCCACGTTTGCAACTGGGGGTGTCTTTCTTGGAGGGCACCTTTTTGATGTGAGAGAACCCACAACAAAAGATTTCCCGAGTTTAAGACCCACCCAGCCTGTCGGGAGGTCTGGGGAAGGCCGGAAAGGCAAGAGATGTCGGGAGCCGCTTGAAGAGGTGTTCTACATTTCCAGATTCGGGGATTGCGCTCGATTTTTCGGAAGGAGTCGTACAGCGAACCCTGCTGCCCGTACCAAGCCGCCAAGAAACAGTCGAAAGCGCGGGAAAACAGCGCTTAGGCCAGCGGACCTATGTTTGTGAATAGTACTTCGAGCACTTTCATCAATTCTGCAGACTCGAAGCGGGGTACACATATCCTTCTTAATGGGATGGATCCCCTGCCTCCTTTCAGGGACACTTCTTTCCCCGTCGAACACACACGCACACACTCACCCACCCACCCACCCACCCACCCACCCACC